GTTTCCTTTTGCCCTGGTTCTCGGGCGCCCTCCCTGGGAGGAGCTCGATACGCTGCCCAGACGGGGGTGATTTCAGCTTGAATTGTGTCTGTGGGAGGAAAGGAAAGCAGATCTCAGTTTTACAGCAGGGGAAACTGAGGCACAGAGCGGTGCTGTGACTAACTCAAGTGGTCTGTGGCAGAGCTGGGAACAGAGCCCGACTCCCTGAGCCCCAAGCCGGTGTCTCAGCCACAAGACTCTCCACCGGACTGGGAGAGGTTTTTTTCCCCCCACGAAGGTTGGCAGGGAATTCAGTGCTGGAGTGGCAGGGCATGAGGACACGGCCTCTGTCTCGCCTCCAGCCTGGTGGTTGGTTTAAGGTCGCTAACCCCTCCCGGCATCCGGTCTGGGTGGCTCAGCAATCCCCATCCTCCAGCTTGCTTGGAAGCAGCTGCACAAAAGGGCTGTCAGCTCGGAGAGCCAAGCTCCGGCTGATTGTGCTGGCTCCTTCCAATGCGCAGGGAAACAACAAGGGACTGTAATAACAGCGCCTCCCCGGCCCGGCCCTGCCTATTGTCGCGGGGCTCTCGGACAGCCTGGAGAGGGGCCAGTTCCGATTCCCTGCTCTCATCCTCCCACAATCCACCTGCCCCTGGGATTGCCCTGAATGTGCCCTCTCACGCCCTGATCCATCCCAGCCTCCGGAGCCGACCGCCAGGCGGGACACGAACCGTTCCCTACATTCCAGCTGGCAGCCCAAGTGCTGGAGCCGTCAGCCCGGGCCCCTCACAGCCCTGCTTCTTCCACGCACCCGGAAAGGCGCAGGAGCCTGGCTTCCACGGGGACAGCTCCACGGCCGAGCCTCCGCACTGAGATCGCCCGGCCTGCAGTCCCTAGGACTGTGCCTGGCCTCCACCGGCCTCCACGCACTCTTTGGCCCTCCTGGCTGAGAGCTGGTTTGCCACATACCTAGGCTAAGGAGTCACACATTGGGCTAGGCAGCTGGGGAGTGTGGGACGCGGGGTGCAGGAAGTGACCCGTGTAACCCTTGGGAGGGCCGGGGGCTGAGCAGGGTAGCTGGGAGGCAGTAGAGGTGGGAGGGCAGCGAGAGGGAGCAGTGAGGCGGCACTGGGACGCCAAGCCCCAAGCTCCCAGGAGAGGCCCCTGTCCCCGCGGTTACTAAGAGCGCCCGCAGCAGCTCTCAGGACAGTCGAAAACCAGGTGTAACAGGCAGGTGCTGCTCCCTGCAGAGGCCTGGTCTGTCCACTTGATCCCGCACAGCACGTCGTGTCTGCACTTCCTACCACCCCCGCCCAGATGCAGAAGGTTCGTTCCCTGCACTGCTAGCTTGCCATGTGTGACGTAGTGTTGGTACCTCGCTGGTTGCTGGGCTTGGGCTGTGGGTGACCCCCACTGGCTGCTGTCTGTACCACGGCCCAGCAGAGTAGCTGATGGGACAGGGAGGGAACCTGTTCAACCAGTTACCTCCCAGGGAGAGGAACAAAGGAAGGTGGAATGCCACCCTTGGCTCGGGGGCAGGGCTGGAAGGGACGGTTTTTAGTCTCAGTCTGGGAAGCAGAGGAGAAGGAGCTAGGGAGGGGGCTGGGATTGTAGGGCCCAGCCACCCCCCATCTCAAGGGGGGCACTGAGGCCTCTTAGCCCCAGTTCCTGTAACCAGATGACATCTGTGCTGTGCTGTATCCTGGAGAAGCAATAAACTCCCTCTGTTCTACTGGCTTGTGGAGTCTGTTTGTGCCACTATGGGGGTGCAGGAGGCGGGGGACCCCGACGCGCTGCCACACCATGGCACCCGGAGCTCCCCGCCAGCTGCCCTGCCGGGGTAACCCCTCTGCTGTATCCTGGGCTGCTGTGTTCCCACGATGTGCGAGGGGGCTTGGGCACAGGGTGCTGTGACTGAGGCCTGCTAGTTGGCAGACGAGGAGTCAACACATCTCCCTTGGGCAGGCTGGGCAGCTCGAGGGGCTGGGGACGGGATCTGGCCCCCCAAGGGGTATAAAAGCAGCTGATCTGCTGGCTGCTGGGAGCTGTTACCATAGGAAGCTGGTCAGTTTCCCTAACCCCCCTTGAGGTTGCTATTTGCCATGGGTGGCCAATGCCACAGCGAAACTTGGCTCCCAGTTCCAGCCTCTCCTCTGCTGGGCATGGCACATCCCCAATGGGCCTCTCCCACCTTTGTGACTGCAGAGATCCCACGGGTGGAGACGGGGAGCAGCGCGGAGAAGCACTACTCGGTGGTCCTGCCGTCCGTCACTCACAATGGCTTCCTGTACAAGACACCCTC